GTGATATTGGTATATTTTGTGATATATACTAAGCCTATCAGGTATGGCGATATATCACGATTTTTTTTGTAAGTGTTTTTCATAAATTTAAGAAAAAAAAAATAAATATCTGTAAAAAAACAACTTCAGTCTTTAATATCATGAAAAAACATCTATTTCAATTAATAAGTTTAAATTTTAAAAATTTGACAGTATATCATGATAACTACCATATATCACAATATGGCCATATTTCCATATTTTTCTATCAGGTGATATTACTATATCATTAATTATTAATGATATATTGCCCATATCTAAACTATACATCCCCTGGTAGTTTTGTTTGAAGCAGAACAGTTAGCAGAACAGCAACAATCAGCAGTATGAAATATTCAACATTTAGTCAATATATTATACACTTCTTTAAACTTATTTTAAATAGGGCTCTCTTCTTTAAGAGATATATTTTCACTTGATTAAAGTGATAGCATCAGTTTTCAATCAGATGTCTGTGGTTCCTGCAATTCCAATAAAATGAAGTGTTTGATGACATCACTATTATCGAAATATGCTTATATCACATAAGGCCTTTCACAATTAGTGACATCATCCAATACTTCTCAAGTTTTAGTGGAATTGCAGGGACCACAGACGTCTGATTGAAAATTGGAGTATTTACCATCTAAAAATGATATGCTTTTTAAAGAACAACGACAGCAAGTCAAGAAATAATTTTTGATTTTTTATATTTTTTATATTGATTGAAGTTGAAGTTTTAAATCTGTGAGTGGTTATGTGTTAAAATACAGTAAATCAATGAAGAGTAAGGCTAACTATTGACAATCTGTTGGTAAACTTAATAAATAATTTATAACTATAACACTCTGTATTTCAACTACTCCAGTATAAAGATCAATTAAATGAGCAATATCTAGATTTCTATTGTACAAATAAAATTCATCTTTTGACCTCTCCAGAAGGCACAACAAATAACAGTATTTAGCAAGAAGAAAAATTACAATACTGACTAACAGTATATAAAAAAAACAGTATATACAAAATAACATTTCAATCATCTATTTTCAAATAGAAAAAATTCTTTTCGCCTCTCCAGAAGGCACAACAAATAACAGTATTTACCATTAAGAAGAAAAATATGAATACTGACAAATGTTTATATTCACATGTAACTTAACATTCAAATAATTTATTTAGCATCTTCCAAAAATCTTAAATGATAAACCATCGTCATATTTGATAAATACCAGAAGTATATCTTAAACTGTAAAGTGTTATTTGGAAATTGGAAATTGTTTGTAGTAAAATGATAAGTGCAACTTCTTTTGTGTTTTATGTCTTCTGTTTTATCTCAAATGAATTATCTTTTATGCAAATTAATAAAGTCGTGACCCTATTGAATATTCAGCACTGCTACGTCATTTTTTTTAAACAATGCCTGCTCTATGCTGGCCAATCATTCTCATAAGGAAATAAGTCAAGTTTTCATAAATCTATTTATATTTCTTCTACAAGATAATCTTGTCGGGGAAGCACAGGCACATGTTAGATTTTACTCAAGATTCGAGTCAGCGAGTCTTTGTGTGCCCGCAAACATCCCAACAATAGATTTCCATTTTTAGTATCTATTTTGATAATTCATCACTAACTGTTAACAAATCAATTATTAAACAGAGAATACACCTTGCAAAGGAAGATTCAAGGAAAATAATTAATCCAAATCACAAAATATAATTCTACAATCTATTTCTGTCTATCATCAGAATATTACTCTATTTACTAGTATATGAAATGGAGAATAACTATCCAGCAAGACATAAAACATACTTCTACAATCTAACATTGTGTAGGATTAGAATGAATGACATCAAGTAAACAGCTAGTATTTCTCTCATTTACTAGATTATTTTAGGAACTAAAAGTAAATAATGACTGAGTTTATAACCAGAATAATGACAGGAATGTCAAGCTACATTTTTTTTACTAGAGAAAACCCACTTTTTCTCATCAAAATTGTTATTTCAAATACAAATACACACAAGAATTGAAATGGAGTTTTACACCCAATTTTCTGCAACTTATTGGGCTTCAAATAAGCATACTAACACATATATACTCTTAACTGTGTGTATACAATCCGATTAAAAATCCAGATGTAGATATTTTGTTTCATATTTTTTCTGTGGGTTACAACATTATCTATTCATGATCTGAAGGAATTCTTCTTTGATCAAAATACATTGAAATTTTGACATGACAGATTCAAGCTTCCATGATGAATCTATTTGACTTTTGAATACTATCTCACAGAATACTACCTCAATAATCCGATAAATCCATAAAAGTAAGTTATTACCCAAAAAACTAAGTAAGTATTCAAAAAATTAAGCAAATTTTAAATACTTTTTTCAATAAATACTTGTAGTTTTATCGATAATTACTTAGTTTTATCGATAATTACTTGGTTTTATTGATAATTACTTGGTTTTATCGATAATTAATTAGTTTTATCAATAATTACTTAGTTTTATCGATAATTACTTAGTTTTATCAATAATTACTTAGTTTTATCAATAATTACTTAGATATATCAATAATTACTTAGTTCTATCAATAATTACTTAGTTCTATCAATAATTACTTAGTTTTATCAATAATTACGTAGTTATATCGATAATAACTTAGATTTATCAATAATTACTTAGATTTATCGATAATTACTTAGCTTTATCAATGATTACTTAATTTTCCAAACCATGACCAAGTAAAACTAAAAATCAAGTAACATGACATGCAAAGAAGGAAACTCACCTAGTTCAGATATAACTCCAATTACTTATTTTAATTCAAAACAGAGAAGTCAGATGACAAACTGTCAATTTATATAAATTTTTACCCTATTCTTAATGCAACAATTCAATTAAAGTAAAGAAAGAGAATTAGAAGCTTCTATAATTCACTTCACTCCTAACTAGTGGGTTGAACATTCAGATGTATTTAGAAACTTGTGGTTAAAAATAAATTCTTAATTGTTTACATACCGATATAAATAAACTTGTGCCATTTACAAATAAATTCAGCTTTAGAAATTTAGATAAACTTTTATGTTTTCAAAGGAAGTAAACTATGTTTTATACACACCATTTTCTACTTAATGATCCATTAAAGAGCCACGGTGGCTCTGTGAGATAGACATTTTCTTCCTAAACAAATGGTCCAGGATTCAATGCCGGCCTAATTTAGATATACTTTCAACTCAGTTTTCCAGTGTAAGTTATGCAGGTTAAAAAACGTGACATGGAAAACTGTCTAGTCTGGAGGATACATCCAAGCCTTATGTGTCCTTAATAGTTAAAGGCCATGGTTCACTATTTTCAGGGGTTGATTGGGGTCTTGAGTTTATGTAAATTACTAATTATTGTTCAAAAATACCACAAACTATGACTATCTATTGCTATATATATGTGTTATATATATTACAGAGTCTCAAGAAAAGATAAGTCGTCATTTTAACTTTCAAACACGGATAATTCTGAACACACATGGATTTGAAGGCTCAAACTTCGAAGGCAAACATGTCCCTTTAAAAAATTGAAAATTAGTAGGCTTATGCGTTTGTCCTAGCAACACTACCCCCAACTCTGTTCATGCACTATATATACATAAGGTCCATTAACTGCCTTCATCTTCAGAACATTTTTTATTCAAGGATCACAATTATAAAAATAATGGACAGGTACCTTTAATGTTAAATTCAAAACTGGATTCTTTACCTTAGCAACTTTAAAATAAGTTCAACATCTACAACTGTTCAGACAACAGACTTCATTTTGTTTCGATTTTACTAAGCAACTTAACTTAGGTTATAACCAAACTTTGGCCTTTTAAGAACAACTGTTAGTATCAGACCATGTTGAGTACTGATAAAATTAGTAACTTTAAACCTAGTACCGGATATATAGTACTATCATTGTTTATATAAGTAATTAACTTTATCTTAGATAACTTATATTAACTTACATCATTTCAATTTGATTTTAGAATTAAAGTAAGTAAGCCAGTTTAAAGGGGTGTGCTCAACTAAACATTCAAACACTTCAGTAAGACCCAGCCACTTATCAATGTTTTTCATGGAATGTATTGAAGGGACAGTTCGCCATTTGTCCGGCCAATCATACTTTAGTCTCAGAAATGAGAATTTTTTAGTTAAGCCAATCAGTAATAGTGTTTATAGCTCACCGTAGAAATTTGAGCCTTCAAATCCATGTGTGTCCAGAATTATCCATGTGTGAAATTTAAAAAGACCACTTGTATTTTCTTTAGACTCTGCCATATATATATAGGAAAATAAGGTTAAATTCCTGGTTTGAGGCATTTTGAAGGAATTATTAAGCAATTTTCATACATTTCTAGTAGTTCTGAAGACTATATATTTACATATAGTCAAGACCCAAATATTATTCAGAAATGTACTAGAAATGTACAAAATTTCTTTTCATAACATATGGATTTGAAGGCTTAAATTTCGACAGTGAGCTGTAAACACTATTACTAATTGACTTAACTAAAAAATTCCCGTTTCTGAGACTAAGGAATGATTGGTCAAAGAAATGATGCATCTGTCCCAAGGGGTATATATAATATAACAATTCTTGTTAATATTAGTGGATAGTCTCAATTAAATTCTATAGATCTGTGTACATAATAAAGTGCATGTACAGAGGTTTTTTTTCCATTTTTTTTCAGTAATATTCAGAAATTTTTACAGCACTCTTGTATGTATTATTTTCATATTTTAAGTTACAATGCCTACCCAACCTGGTTTTCATAGAAAAATAAAAAAGTTATAGCTGATTTAGAATTTTACATAGTTATGCTACTGTAAAAAGTAAAATTTTAAATCAAGTGAAGATTTTATTAATGGAATTCCTTCTTCCAATGGGTCACCTTTTGATTGACCATTAAAGTCAAGATTAACAAAAAGACTCTTTATAATCTCTTTACAGATATCTGTAATAATTTGAAAATATAACTTACTTTTCGACCAGCAAATCACCTTCTTCTACTTGTTCATGAATTTTTTCCCGTCTTTGATTTTCTTCCTAAAAGAGATGATATATATGCTTATTAATAATTATAACATGCTAAACTTCACTACAGGGCAACAACTAGCTAGCATGTAAATTTACAGGGAGGGGGGGGGGGGCAAATATAAGAGTGATTACGTTTGAAAAGAAATAAGAACCTGCTTGACTTCGACGAAATAATCCATAAATAAATAGATGTAAACATGTGACAGTCACATGACTTCATGAAGCAGACGTCCATGTGACTTCCTGCATACAACTTTCATAGATATCTTCATTTGATCATTTTTTTCCAAAAAATGAAAAAAAAACCCTTAATTGGTAAAAGTAAATCATTGAATCATTTTTACTAAAAATAATGGCACAGCGAAGTAACCTATTTTTCGTGCATCTCCGGAAATGATTAATAATTTACATATGCGACCTTGCGTGACCTTCAAATTTGCTAGTTTTAATAAACATGGGTTTTCTCTACAATATCAGCTAGTAGAATGAATCCATTAGTTTCAAGCAAAGTAAAATGTATTAATGTATACTTTGACAAATACAAAATGGCAGATTTCAGTTAAAACGTCATCATTTTTAATCGGTCGAATTTCCTTTCATCATCTCAAGCGATAATCGGAATTCCAAGTGTCGTCAGCTAGAATGTAGTCCAACGAAAGAAGATCAACTAGCGGATTCCGTGTCAGAAAAATTCTATGGAACACAATGTAGGCCATATTCTATGTTGTTTCAGTGACTTTTAGCAATAAATCACGCTACCTATCTTGTTTCAGTCACTATTTTTTCTTAAATCGTGGTTCTTTGAAGGAATTGTCACTAGTTATAATGAATTGATATTAAAGATAAATACTAAGAGAAGTTAATTATACCACTGGGTATCCATAAAACGTGTTTTTCTTGATTTATTTATAGATCAAACATTGTAGACGAAAATAGGTGACGCATTTTGCTGCCGTTGTCGAATTGGTTACTCGTGAAATATGGGTCAAAGTGAGGGATTCATAAAGAAAACAAACCAACCGAATTATTTTATAGAATATCTGACGAAATATCTAATGCATAAACAAAAATTTCTGTATTTTTAACTTTGACGAAATTCGGTGTTGAATCCTTATATGCACGACAATAGGTTACACCACTGTATATACCCCTTTGTCGGCCATGGTTTAATTCCAGTGTACTAATGAGAAAGCTGACCATTTGAAATATTTACACAAAAACTGATGACACCAGTGGTCTATTTACTGTGTAATGTCTTCCAAATATTCACCGTCCAAATGGGTATCTGTCGAATTAGAGCATGACACGAGACGAAATGACATAATAGAGACCCTGGCTCATATAGCCATAGAAACATCCAGTTCTACTTTAATATTCCTAGATAATATATGATATGAAATATACCTACTTTGACATATTGATCATACAATTCTTTTTCATATTCCTTTCTTCCTTGATAGCCTCTGTAACGTTTCTGAATACATATGGCTGCCTTTTCGTTAGCATCTGCAACTTCATTCTACAAAATAGTAATAAAGGGAAGTAATAAGCATTTGAAGCTAATCAATTCAGACCACTTTTAAATAGGTTTCCATCCCTATATCATACAACAAGAGATCTATGTCAGGCTCTTGCTGGTCATTTGTCCACTTTTTCACAATCAACACTTTTTCAGAAAATGTAAACAAAGACAGTCAATTTAAAATGTCAGTTAGTAGAATTTCATTGTGAAAATGCCATGAAAATTGAAATGTATGTAGCTGGGATTGATCTGTTTTCAGCTGATATAACAATCTAGAACTTTATCCCCAGTATTAAAGGGACAGATGTGCCATTTTTGGGGGTGATTTTTGGTCTTGAATATATGTAAACAGTCTTCAGAAGTACTAGAAATGTACAAAAATAAACAAATTTCTTCAAAAATACTTCAAACTAGGAATTTATTTTTCTTATTTCTATAGATGTCTATTCTATATATAGCATAGTCTCACAAATAGACGACTAGTCTTTTTAACTTTCAAATGCAGATAATTCTGGACAAACATTGATTTGAAGGCTTAAATTTCAACAGTGAGCTGACAACTCTATTACTGATTTGCAGAGCTAAAAAGACCTGTTTCTGAGACTAATATGATTAGTCAAAAAAAAAATGGCATCTGTCCATTTAACTATTTGAATCTTTGTGAGTTTGATATTCCATCTTCTAGATACTGGTACAAAACATTTTACTTGTTCTCTCAAATGAGCACAGCTAAGTTTTAAAAATAATAATTCTATATATTACCTGTCCGAAAAGCTGTTTAGTTACATTAGCATTAGCAGCCTGTAGAAAAAAAAATTGGGAATACTTGTTAAACAAATGTGGAATACCTACTGAAGCCCAGTAAAAGATTTTACTTTAAAATTGGTACATTCTAGCTTTTCACTGTTTGGCTTTTGACTAAATGAAGAAACTTTGGAATTACAGTGCAGTATCCTTCATAAATCATTTTTCAAAATAAATCATAATAAGTGTATGCTTATTTCATAGGCAATTTCTTTTTCCTCTATAAAAGCAAACAATTAATGCTAACAGCAATTTTTAAAATATTGAAGCAAATATCCAAGTTTTAAAGTTTACCTTCATAGTATTTTGAGCTCTAAAAAGCCTTTCTTCTTTCAAAATATTAGCATCTTGTTGAACATCTGGTAGAGTAGGATCAGGTATCAAATCATCTAAAATATTATCTGTCCTTTCCATTTTTAATTAATCAAATAATATCTACAATAAAATTAGAAATAGGCCATGTGATTGAAGTGACATTTTCACTAATTTCAAAGAATCAAGTGGAAAATACCAGTAGCAAAGAAATTAAAGACAGTTGGCATATTTAAGGGATGGGCCACCGAGCCAAGGGCCCTCTTCCTCCATCTCAGGTAGATTGTGAAAGGTCAATGGGTGCTTCATGAATAGGGACTTAATGCCTCACCTCTGAGAGACACCTCTCATTTTTTCAACAATCCGCCCCTCCCCCTCTCCCTCAGAAATGGCTCAGCTATAATTCAATTGACAAGCCATCTGAGTCTCCCCTTTTGGATTGTATTGGACCTCGATCCCCTGGAAAATATTCTGATCTAGGGCAGGAAGGCAGAGAATACACCATTTTGTTCATTTCTTTTCACTGGCTCTTGTTTAAGAAAAATCCAACAAATCTAACCAATTCGATGAATGACTCACCACAGCTGCATCAATATAATTATGATGCTGATGGTACTAATAGTAATGGCACCACTTCACCTGCAGTCAGACTATCCCACTGGGTAGACGCAAATCAACTCTAATTTATATGCTTTTTAGCCTACAGTTTCACGGAACTTATAGAATGTAACAAAGCTTTGTTCCCTACAACATGAAACATGCAACTCTTTATTCTTCACTTTAAAAATTAGCCTACCTTAGAAAATGTCAAAATAGAAAATAATAACATTAATCCACATCTATTTTATCTTCATCAAAGAAGAGCTACACATCAAAAACGTAGTTATCCCCCTTTGACTGTAATTACAAAATTGATACAGATGTTATTTGGCCATAATCAGTTTTACGATTTAACATAAAATGTGGCTAATCAATTATAATTTTGATTCACATTTTCATAAAACAAAAATTTGAAATTGAAAGAGACAGTCAAGCGGCAAAAGTTCTCATGAAAATTAAACAATTTGATTTTGGCTATCATAGGAAATATTGGATCCTTTAAAGAGTTATTTCCAAACTGCGATGTGATAGGGCCTATCGTTTAAATTGAACCTTGAAATAGACGACAGGCCCTTAACCAGCCCAATGTACCTAGAGATTAGGGTGATTGAAGAGTAACAAGTTACTATTCAATATAAGGCACTGGTACCTAGAGCAATAGCTGATAGAGACTGATTACAGCTTCAATTTAGAATTTGCATAAAGAGAAAGCAAGGATGAAATGAATTGACGTTTTACGTCCAACTTTTCTGCGCCATAACACCATGCAGGGTGCAATGAGGAAAAATTTTGCCAGGACAGCGGCATTAGCATGCTCTGCGATTTCCAACTGTCGAGAGATCTTTAACGTGCACAGCCTGTAGCACATGGGGGCCTCGGTTTATTGTCCAATCCGGACGACTAGAAGCTTTTTTCCATGTCAGCCCCTCTTACCTGCATCACTGAAAAGGGGAAACCGGGTTGAAAAATACGAATGTAACAAATGTGAATGGAAATAAAAGTGAATTATGGAAAAGAAAAGGAGTGAGTAGAGAGGCAGAAAACATGGGAAAGATGACAGAGAAGAACAAGGATCTACATTTAGGGGAAACAAAATTAATAGAGGACGTAGGGCAGTCTGGACACCAGGAAGTGGAGTGCAGTGGGAGAACCAAAGGGAATGAAGAGATGAGGGGTGTAAATAGGTGTGTAAAAAACAGAAGGAAGAGATAAACATGGGAAACTCAGAGAAAGAAGGAAGAGACAAAGTGAGGAAAGAAGACAGGTGGAATCTTCAGTCATATCCGTAGCTACAGGTTGTAATGAAACCACGAAAAATGTTCAGATTGTAGATTCCATATTAAAAATATACATAATGTAATTATAAAATAACCCTATTGAACAATAACAAAAAGCAAGCCGCAGAATAATTTGCATTTTGAATTTGAATTTTACATATTTCCCATTTCTTATGAATTTTCTAACAACCGAACTATTCCGATACTGCTGCTGAACACCATATATATAGGCTACCATTGCCCCCCTGAACAGCCAAGTCTGGCTACGGGTATGCACATAAAGAAGTGAAATAGAAGCAGAAGTTATGGAGGAATGGGGTGAGGTGGGGTAGGTAATGAGATAGTGGAGAGGAGAAGCGGAAAGGAGCGGGACAATCAGTAGAATTTGGTTGTAATCGGCAGTCCGAGAGGCTTACATCAGAGCTGCGAAATCTTAATATGTAACTTTTTGTTCCAAATACAGTTCTGCCTATGACTTTTTGTGAGTCGCCTTCTACTTTCTCTTTAACCGATTAGTTCCCGTCTTACAATATTTACTGGAATTGGATATTATAAATAATGTCCATAAGTAGTCTCGGTGGTCAAAGGAAATTGCAGAGAATTCTTTCCCTTGAGATAAAATAATCATATTGAGCAATAATAAAAACAAACTGTGCAAAACAATTTTCCATACAAATTATAGAATTTTACATATTTTTTCTCTGGGGTATTTTCGAAATATTTTTCTTAGGTTATTATTATGGACTTGTTTCTCATGCTTTCATTTTGGTGGAATAGAGCGAATTTCGAGTCATTTTCATACTTGTATAGTTTTGGACTGTTGTTGCCTCCCTTTAAATTATGAATTCTGTTGAATTATATGATGACTCCCTTTTTGTCAAAACCCGTATTCAGGATACGATGCTCCATGGGTGGTTTGTCCTATCGTGTAGAATGTAGATGGCATTTTGGCCTTGACCATAAAGTTATATAAAGGCCTTGACATAACTTAAACTGTGGCATATTTTTAAAATCTGGAAAAGATAAAGTTCCACAGTAAAAAATGGGGATATATAAAAATGGAAACAATTGGATAGAGAAAACTGCTCTACAAAAATAGGCCATTAACCTGAGATTTGAAGGCTCAAATTTCGATGGTGAGCTTTGAACACTATAACAGATTGGCTTAGCTAACGCTAGTACCCCCTTGGGAGTATCTGCATGCACGGGATGTCTTAAAACTTATTGAGATTATTTTTTTCAAAATTTATGGTTGTTTAATACATAAATGGGTATTAAAACTTCTCAGCTGTTAAGTTTTTAAGATATCTTTGTGGACAACTTAAGGTTAAACTAAAAAAAGAATCTAAAAAATGAGATAAGTTCCGCAAATCAAAAACGGGCCAAGTTAAACCATTTATGAGAAAAAATTTCCTGTATACCAACATTGTTGTCAATGAAAAGCCCCAGCCCAACAAATTGGCTCTACCATTTCCTAACATGTGATTTCGTGACTCTACATAACGTCTTAGGAACCGGAGGATTTTTAGGCTATGAACTCAGGAGAAAATGAAACTGTTCTGCAACAATAGGGCTAATGAAGACGGGCAACTCAATACAGTGTACAATGAGGGAAATTTCGCCAATTTTCCCCATTTCCAACTGTCGAGGGATCTTTTACGACACAGCACACGGGGCCCCGGGTCTTTTGCCGAGATTGAACCCTGGACTCTCAGGTTAGCATGCATGCTTCTAATCTATCCACGTCGGCTTTCAAGAACACACAGCACAGGGTCAAGTCTCAATAGGAAACGGAGGTTAAAAAGTCCTTCTAAAAAGACAGGATTTCTTTAAATATTAACCTTGATAAGCGACATTATAAATCTCTATTTGTCTCTTTAATTTGACTGGATAATCGATTATTAATACTGATTGGTCTATAGTAGTGTCAGTAATATAATTATGACCCTTCAACTGTCTTTAAAGGGACATGATATAGTTATATATTCTGTAATATCTAATTGACATAGGGCCAATAAGTATTAGGGCGAACTGACCCACAAAAACCTTACCAATTAGTTGCATATGCATTTATGACCGCGTGTAGGATGGTGTGCCAAAAATATTATACAGCGCAACTCTTAAAAGTTCACAATTGCATTTCTGAGTTTGCATAATCGTACTTCTAACCACGATAAGCTCTTAGGCACGAGGTCAAGGTCAGGTGCCTTCATAGCCGCAATACAAATTATCATAAACTCCATTCATATTCCGATGTCTGAATTTCAACATTTCATAGATTTTATTCTCTTAGACGACTTGTCACTTTAAGATATCGTCAATATTTATAGACGAGTTTATCAAGTCTGCCTTACTATAGTTTATGTTATTGACATAGCTGGATAATCTCGACAACCATATCTAACGCCAGTACGCACACCTGCCATTATAGCAGACGAACTTACACCGTTAGTTAGAAGGTACCTTTACTGTTAGCGTGTACAGTGATCTCTCAAAACTTTCACATGAACTTTACAAGTTTATTTTTTTGCCTATATCTTCAAAACTTCAAAGAAAGAGACGACATTTGTTGACCGAATTTAGCAAGTTTTAAAACTTTGTTACAATGTTATGTTCATTATATTGGTTGCAAGTTTCTGTGAATCTGTAAAGCACCATCGAGAAAAATGGCGTCGGCAAAAGTTGCCAAAACTAAAAGGAAAGAATCTTTGGATAAAAAATTTGAAGACCTGTGTATTGAAAACGGAGACACGAAAATCGATAAAAATTTAGAAGAATTGAAAATTCTGTCCACTGTCGGTAGGTATTCAAGTTTTTATTTCAAATTGGATTTGGGTTGGTTGGTATTATTGGGCTATATAGGCATGGTATATTAGAGAGGGGGTGATAAGAATTGTGTTATCACTGTCTGGTAGATAAACGTATTATATTCCATTAACATATGTTTCCATGAAATACACTCCAGTTAACAATATATTATATAACCAAGCAGCTCTGCGCCTTTTTGGGATAGCTACCCATAACTTTTCAGAATTTGAATTCAAATTATTTTAGTGCAATTAAACTCACCATTTCCAATTCATTATTTGCATTTGCATACGTCTAGTTGTTACCCTACCCTGTCATATCCATAATAGCTGAATGCATGATAAAATTGAGAATATGTGATCTCTTGGTTATCATAAGCCATTCTGAGATGACAGAATAACAGATCAAGGTGCATAC